AAATACTAATACGCCCCGGAAAAAAAAATACTTTTTTTTTTTCCATTCCGTCATTGTTTCTTTATTACACACACAAAAAAAAAAAACAACCCTGAAAACGAAGAATACTAAGAACTGCCAACCAAAAATCCCCCCCCAAAAAAAACTCTTTTTTTTAATTTATTTTTCAATTTCTCTTCTCCACCTTTTCTTTTTTTTATTTTTTTATAATTCTAAAAAATGATCTGTTTCCAAAAAAATATGTATGGGGTTGTAGGGCTTGAAAATCCCTACAACCCCATATATATCGTCACAAACAGAACTGCCCGGTAAACCGTAGCCAGAGAGAGAGAAGAGGACAACAAACGAGAGGCTGTGTGTATTTTCTACCCATTATTTTTTTCAGGAAAAATCTCATAAACTCATGTCCGCGGCACGGCCGAGGCCAGCCGCAGCTCCGGACATGAATATGGGCGCCCTCCGAGCTCGACCCTGCGGACACGTCCGCGGGTGTTTCATAGTTAATTACGAGGCTGGTCGCCGTAGATAAAATGAATCAGGGGCAGGCGGCCTCCAAAAGGGGCCCTTGGCCGATAGCTGGCATGAACTGGTGCTTTAACCACCTTATAAATTGTCATGGGAATAGGACGTTCGGTGTCAAGGTATCCCCTTCTCTGCTGTCAGTCCTTTTGACTAAGGCTGCTCTCCAGGGTTTTTTTTTTTTTTTTTTTTTTTTTTAGCAAGGCCCTTATACAAGGCCTATATCCTGGTGGTGGTAAGAGAACCACCGGGATTGAGGCTTTGCCCTGGCGGGCCGCTCCGTCTATTGGTGGGGAGACTCACCTCCTGGGAACCGGGCCCAGCGTCCCATGAATACATCTGTACAAACCAGTACAAAACAGTACATCCTTGAGAGAGACGCCCTTGGAGTTAGGGTCGAACCTGGTGGAGGAATAGCTGGGTATGGGGCGGCAGGCGGCAGGCGGCGGGCGCAGCGCTACCGGGAGCGCTGCGCCCAGCCGGAACCAGTTCGTCGGCGGTGCTTTCACATCAGGGCAAAGTTGGGCGCGTCGACCAGCGGGAGGAGGGTGCGGGAGTTTACGCGCGGAGTGTGGGTAGGAGTGGAAGCGGGGTAAGGAGATGGCGACGCCCGTCGTGCGGCACTAGCAGGTCTTCTTGTTTGTGCGCTTGTAGTTGATAGCTATGGCGGCCGTGTTCCAGAGATGATGGTGGACCTAACAAGAGGGGCACGATCAATCAGCAGAGAGTGGTGTGGTGTGTGCTGGCGCTTTCTACCCTCTAGTAACGCACGATGGACAGGCACCAAGATATTTTGTCTATGCACGACGGAAGGCAGTGCTACACAGCAGCTGGACCACGGACACTGTCGGCTCTGCGTTTAGTGCGGGAACAGCTTGTCCTCCCCCTCCTCCTCTTCTTCAACAGTACGGTAAGTGGATGTATATAGAGGTTTGAACCCCCTGTGGTGTCTCGCCAACGGGTTTGGCGAGGAGGAGCCACACCATCTTTTGTTTTTCCTTGGGAGATGGAAGATGGCCATTGAAGTTTTCGGTGTTAGTGTTGCCTAGAGCCTTGTTGCTAGCAGTGGGAGGAAGGGTGTTTTCCTCCCCCGAAGATGCCGGGGTAGGGTTTGAGGGGGTTGCGGTAAGTTGGGGTGTTGAGAAAGAGGGGAGGGGGATATTCACTAGTTGGTTGATTGCCCTTTTGTTTTGGCTCACTCTGTTTTTCGCAATCCCTGAAATCTATTAACCTGCTGCTATATAAGTCAGCCCTTAAATCAGATTTCAATCACGGTAGGTTTCGATCTGGCGAATCTTGTATGCTGATCCTGATTTGTAAGAACTTTGCTCGGATTTCAATCACGGTAGTTTTCGATCTGACGAATCTTGTATTCTGATCCTGATTTGTAAGAACTCTGTTGACATGCTTAGGTTAGCCTTCAAACATCGTATTGGAATTCCTATAAAAGCTTCCAACAAAACTTCTGATTCTCGAACTTTTTCCTTATAAAAGTTCTTAAAAATATTCTTGAAATAATTTCTTCCCAAAGCTTCTAAGAAACTTCTGATTCTACAACTGGAAAGTTTGGTTCTCGAAACGCTTCCCTATAAAACCTTCTAAAAAAAAATTCTCGAAATATTCTCCTATAAAAGCTTCCAAGAAAAACGTTGTTTCTTGAAATATTCTCCTATAAAACCTTCTAAAAAACTTCTCGAAATATTTTCCTACAAAGCTTCTAAAGAATTTTTGAAATCTTCAAATAAATTCCTATTGAAGCTCTATAAAATTTCAGACTCTGGAGATCTCAGTTAATTCTAAGTTTGATCAAAGGCTGTAGACTCTCATGGGGTGGTTCTGTTGAGTCGGGGGATCTGTCCAAGAAGGGCGCCCGCTCATGGGGTGGTTCTGTTGAGTCGGGCGCTCTACCCCGTCCTAACGCCCAAAGTTTGATCAAAGGCTGTAGACTCTCTGGGGATAATTGATGGAAAGTGCCCACGCCAAAACCTTTTTGGTTTTGGGCGCCCGCCCAAAGTTTGGGCGTTTGGTACAACCAGCCCAGACTTCTTCTGCTCGGGTGCAAGGCGCCTTTGCGCCATGACCACAGCTCTCTGGGCCTGTTTTTACCTGACTATGAATCTGGTGCTGGCCAGATGCATGAACCGGGAGGGCCATTATTTTGCAATACAGCGTACTTGGGCCTCCTATTCTCTGTTTGCAGCACCTATTCTCTGTTTGCAGCACCACACTCGGCCTCTTTGACATCACTATGAATCTGGTGCTGTTTATGTGCCAGATTCATGATCCAGTAGGGCCCATTGGCCTATTTTTACCCAACTACGAGTCTGGTGTTGTTTTTGAGCCAGAGGCATGAACCGGTCTGAATCTGGTATAGTTTTTGAGCCAGATTCATGAACCGGTATGAATCTGGTATAGTTTTTGAGCCAGATTCATGAACCGGTAGGACCATTATTTTGCAATAAAGGGTATTTGGAACTCATATTCTCTGTTGACAGTACCACCCTCGACCTTTTTTTTTTTTTTTTTTTTTTTTTGAAAGAAACATCATTGGTGCGAACGCACCTGCTAGCAGGAGTTGGTAAGAGCATCCTCCTCTAGCAGGCTTCACAGGGTCGATGACTCCAATCTATTGGTGGGGAGCTGCACCTGCTGGAAACGGGGT